CCATCATCGAGCAGGACGAGCGGCAGTTGCCCCCGCTGGAAGGGGAGTGCTTCCTCGCCTGCGTCCGGCTGCCGCAGCGCAGCACCGCCGTCCTGCGCCGCCGCCTGCTGGTGGACCCGCCCCCCGACCCCGCCTCGTCCAACGCCGCCTCTGCCGTCCCGACGGCCCTGGGAGGGGCGGGGAACCCCGGCGCCGTGCTGGGGCTGTCCGCCAATCGCCCCCGGACTCTCCCGCCGGCCCCCGCCGCCCATGTCAAGGCCCTCCATCTCACCTCCGCGGCCGGGCAGAAGCCGCCGCTCCGGCAGGCCGGCCGCCTGCCGTTGAACCACCCCACAAAGCCGGCGGCGGCGAGCCCATGCAAAGGCTCGGGAAGCGCGGCGATGGCGGGGGGGATCGGCATCGTGGACGACGCCGCGGCGGGGGGGGAGCATCCCGGGACGCCGGCGTCGAACTGTCCGCGGCTGTCTGGGAATTTATCCGAAAAAACAGACGACGCGCTGGATTCCTCACTCCTCTCCTTGATTTCTCTAAGCACCATGAAACAGTTCTTAACCGAACAGATTCTTTCGTTAATGGAGTGAGGTGTGATCTGTGAAATCTGGAAACTTTTTTTTCATTTTGTGGAGTTAATTTTGTTTATTCCTGAGTTATCGAGGAATAAGAGTTCTCTTGTTTTAGTTGCGTTTTTTTTTCTTATATTTTCAAAGAAAAAGTGTTCGTGTTCGGTACGTATGAGGGTTGTATGAGACAATACGATGCTTAGCATAATTGTATATAGGAATTATAATTTTTTATATAAATATTCAATGCATCGAATTGAAACCGATAAGTGATTTTATTATTTGTTTGAACCACTAAATTTATTTACATCCCTTGTGATATAATTAAATAGCATCAACATCATAAACCCTACATCAGATATTTTTACTTTATACGTGTTCATGAAGGAGACGAAGGTGGGCATGCTTTTCACGGACTAAGAACAACGACAAGAATGAAAAATTAATCTTTATTATATATATATATATATATATATGATTTATATTACAATAGACCTAAAGGGCATGGGTGGAAATAAGTTTATTCTGTGTTTCCTTTTCTCTTTCTATCTAGCTTTACCTTTATAAATGTGAACAGCACTACCAAAGGTTGTAGTGAAATGGACAACGCAAAGGGTCTTTTTTATGGCTTTTTTTATAGGGTTTATTGAGAGCCTGGGGTTACAGCCAACTCTTTCGTCTGCTTTTTGGCCGTTGAATTCTTCCGTAGTGCCATCCATTCATATGGAAACCGCCCTAGGCGATTTTCCCGGGTGGAATCTCCAACTCATGCCATCATGGTGGCTGCTCGAGCGGAATCACCGGCTATGGGCTTTGATGCGCAAAGCGGTACGTGTGAACTTCCTGGTATTTCTGCTCAGTCTCTTTTTATCCCTCTGCGCGACGCTTATTTCCGGTTTCGAGAGCCGTTTCCGTTCGGCCTATGGTGGACACCTCTGTGAGATGGAGGCCCCGAGGTCGACGATTCTGCCATATGTCTTCCTTCGATTGCCCTTTTATGGTGTCTCGTGGCTTCGGGCGTTGCTTTCGCTTGCCGGGCAGTGGCCATTATATATGACCCTACAGTGTGTGGGTGTGATGTGGTATAACCCACTCTACTCCGAGGTGTGGATGATTAGAAAGGGGCTCTTGCGACCGCACAACTCCCCATGGGGTGCCGCCGTGGTAGATCTTCAACACCTGCGGGACGGAGGGAAAGTGGGTGCCTCGCCGATTTCGAATGGTGGTGGGCCTTCCTTTGATTCGTTTTCTATCGTGAAGGGATCATTAGGGCTGGTGATCGCGATCTGCCGGTTGCTGCCGCACACCGTACGACTTACAGCGCTGCTTTTAATCCGCAGTACGCCACCTACTTCGCCTACGGAATGGCTACTGGGGGATCAAAAGCGCTTTGCAAGCGTCATCCCAGGTCCTTCATCGCTAACGGATCACCTCGAGATTATCAGCGTGACAGTCTTTAAACTAGTTGCCACCTCCGTCTTCGCATTTTGTGCGTTGGTATTCGAGAAAGTGCTTGGGGGGTGGTCTATTCTATTCTGTTATGGCATTTCATTCGGTACGATCATCGGCTTTGTCATGAACAGCTTTCTTTATAGCTTTTACGTCTTTGATTACCGGTACGCGCTCCAACTATCGCCCACAAGAAGTTCACGTCTAACCTTAGTTGAGCAACTTGAGCACTATGGCGAGTGTTGGGCGTATAATATTGGCTATGGTAGCAGCATGACGTTGCTTTCGTACGCCTTGACGAGTATTTTAGGTCCTGTCGGATCGGTTTGTATCGTTTCCGTCATCTTTGCGTGGCAGGTAGCTTGCTCAGGCTACGCGAGGCCGATCCCGAGTCCGTGCACGCTCCATATTTTTTTGCCTTGGTTTGAAATGTTAGACTTTATAAAACAGAATCTAGGGCTCTTCTGGCGCCTTGCCGGAGTGGCGTGCTTGTCAGTTTTACCGCTTTGGTATATATTTTTCAACAATTGAGCGACACACTATAGCTGACTTGTTTTTTATCTTTATCAATATATCACCATTTTTTCACACTTATTACACTTTATGTGAGTGTGAATGGGGGTACATAGACGAGGAAAGAGGATTAATATATAGTATCCTTATGTATACATTCTTATTATTATAAATTATATTCTTAGATTCCCATTTTACTGATATAATGTTCTCCATCGTTTGTGTGTCACTTATTTGAATTCACAAATTTATTTTCACACAATACACCTTTTATCATTCCACGTGATGCTTGCATCCATATCCATCTATAATACGCTATATTCGGATGTTGAATGATTTTTTGATCAAAAGTTCTCTAGAGATTATATGTGTGGATTGGGTTATTTTTGCCGACTATAACATTATCTACTTCTTAAATTTGTGGGCCTTGGTTACTGCTATCTTGTATTTGTTTTCCTTGCACTCTATTTCTTTTTTTAGGAAAGGGACAATTTTATGCACAGTTGAAACGCTAACAGTTAATAGAAAGGCGAAAAAAAGCCCACATTCAGAAATAAATCGGATGGCTATGAAAAACAGCTTGCGCATTTCTATTGCACTAGGAAGGGTGCATTTGAGGGCCCATTTATTTTTTTTAACCTTTTTGCTGCTCTTACACCTCTCGGTGTTTTCATTAGGATCCGCCGAACACAAAGGGTATGCACAGGGTTCGCTAAATCATCCACCCCACACCCCGTCAACCTCTTCGATGTCTTCCAATTTGACGATGCCCCCGCAGGCCTTGGGCAGTGGCGGTGCGCAGGGGGATTCTCAGCGTACGCCGCATATTATACGTAGCCGAACCGCCTCGCCGGATAAAAATAAAATGAACCAATACACGATAAAACTTCGCGAGCGAATTGTTGAAATTTACGGCAGCAATCGGACGGTATGGGCGCTACCACCGCTGATGAAGGTGCACACCCCATGCCATAAATTTGGACTCTCATGCCCTCCCGAGTACGTGGAGTTTTTGGAAGATATTCTCCGACAGGCTCTACGGGAAAATCCTACATGTAAGCTCAATCTCAGCGAAGGCTGCGATATCGTCTTGTTAAATCTCACGCGCTGGGTTTTCACCGGCGACTGCGTTCCCGTTGAGAATGGAAGCAAGGCGGCGGCGCCATCGTACTTGAATTCCTCATCGGCGGGCAAAATCGGTACGATATCAGGCTCCTGTCCAACCACAAGTATGGCAAACGAAAAGGATCCCAAATCGCCTTCAACGCATCCAATGGTATCCTTTACGGGGAATGAAGACTACGAGTTGGAGCGTCTTACCCTTCTTGACAATTTACAGCAATATGTGCGAGTGTTGGAGAATAAGCTCGCGCAGGTTCGTCGGGCGAGGTGGTATGGCGAGGCCCCTGAAGGGCATCGTACCCAAACCGGCGATCTCGAACTTTCCTTTCGAGTGAAGGAATATGCCATTTGGATTTCGAAAACTTTACAGGAAAAGACTGGGGCCGAGCGTTATACACGCTGTGCAGAGCAAAAAATCAAGACTTGGTTAATTGAGATCTTTTTTGTAATCGATTGGCCGCTTAATTGGCTTTTTTATTACCTTTTTCTGCGTTTGTTGCCCTGTTCAGCGGTAGTGGCGTTTGGGGTGTGGGTGTGGGCGGATTTGCCCTGGCCTGATAGCGTCGTGAGCTACGTGTTAAACCTTCCGAAAGCGCGGCCCGAGGGGTCTTACGATGAAAATCAAACCAAAATGCCCGTATCGCACTTGAAAGCGTCGTTTTTGCATGCAATTGCTGAGAAGTTCGGTGCTGAGGGTAGTTCTTGTCCTTTCGCTCGTTCTCGTGATGAAGTCGAACATGATGGGGTCGTTCAAACCGAACGATCCTCTACATCCCTGGGGCTCACAACCTTAGAAAATGAGAAGAACTCAACTCAGAGCCCTAAATTAGCCTCTCACAGCGTTCAAGAGGGGTCTGAACGTGAAAAAGCATTGGCTATTCCCTCATTCGCTCCATTGCACACCAGACCTGAGGATTCACTCAATATTTTTCATCATCCGATGCATTCTTTGACGGGTACACGCACAACCACCCTGGAAGAACGTCAGTATGATCGTCAGGTTGCCGTTTCCTTTACGCTGATCGATGATTACTTTAATATTGATTCAACCTATTTTCTTTTTTTAAGGCTGCGGCTTGCGTTTTGTTTGTTTACTTTGCTCGCGCTTCTTTGGTGTAGTTTTGAGTGTTATCGATATGGGCATCGCATTTTTGCCGATAGCGGCGGTTCGCAATGGTTAAGCAGGTTTGAGAGCTCCAGCGGGGGAAATTCTCGTGAGAGTTGGCTGACGATAAATCGACTTCATCTTCATTTTTCTTCCGCCCTTTCTGTTTTCACAAGCGGAGCTGGAAGGTTCCTTCGACGATTACTGCCTTCGTGGATGTCGGCTTCGATCGGGTTGTATGTGTTGTATTCCTTTCTCGGATCGGTGGTTTTGGTGGCATTTCGGGAAACGTTTAGCGCTTTTCAGGAACTTCTGGATGGGGAAAGCGAGTCGGCGGTTCGGCAGATACCTATTTTACGGCTTGATCCTGTCGTAGAAATGGAATAGCGGTCCAATTCTTACGAAAGCACTCGAGCTTGTACATTATTTGATTTTTCAATTACTTACGCTACACACATTTTTTTGTATTCTTTTCCTATATATATATTTTTTGGTGGGTATTAACATTGCTTTACAATCAACTCTCCTTATGGATTTGACTTTTTCTGCTTTTCTTTTTTAAATTTTCGTGGACAAGTTAACCGGACGACGATTGGGGGACCTGGTTAAGCTTGCAACATACCCACCGCACGTTCAAGTTAATTAACGTTACGACGAAAGGGGGGGAATCAATCAAAGAAAAAAAAATAAGAAAAGTAATAATTATACTAAAATATTTAAAAAAAATAACCATGGATTCCTCCTTCTTAGAGCAAATTACCGTTTATACCGACGTTCATCTTCTTGAGCACGTCCAATTAATAGAAAATTATTCAAGGCGGCTATGCCCTTGCAAAACAAACCTTGTGGTACTTACCGCATCCCCTGATAATCCAACCCCTTTCCTGAAGTACTGTGTGAATGAACCCCCACGAGAGCTCACCAATTTATCGACTTCCACCGCCTTTATGAACGATTTTGAGTGTTTTATCACCGCCAGGAACGATCTCCGCTCCGGGGAGGTGATTTACGCCCTTTATCAACGTCAAATCCCTGTTCTCGCCCTTCATATTGAGCCCTCTGGTGAAAACGATGGCGAAATTACCCCTTCCTCGACTATTAATACCCCGAGTGCCTCTCATATTCAGGAAGTTCTTTACCATGAACGGCAGCGAGTGCCGACGGGGAATGGAAGTTCCTCTGTGGAGACTGTTGAGGAGGCGATTCGGTCATTTTTTGATTTTCCTTCACAAATGGGTAGTCTAATCGCGATTGAATCGAATGATCCATCGGTATTTCATCAGTTTTCTTCTTTCACGGCAAACCGTCCTGGCCAGGTGGGCGTTTGGTCCTGCACGTCAGCCATCGAGGCGATTATTGTTTCCGCCCTTCGCCTGAAAAAGGGGGACCAGGACGAGAAGGTGGATTCCGTTAAACGCACGGATGATGGTGGAATAAAAAAGGCGGAAAATTCCTCTTCTTTGTGCGTTTTGGATCAAATGGCGGAGGTGGGGTGGCTTCGATCCGACGGCTATCTGCTTTCGCGCCTAACCCCTGGGGATAGTTTTCTGATGCCTCCGCCCTTACCACTTTTTCACGATTTAAAAGATCAACTTATGCCCTTTTTATGGAATCCAACAACGTCTTCGGGGCCTCAAACACTAGAAGCGCGGCTGGGGCCCTTTTACGCGCTTTCACAGCAGAACCCTCAGCTCTATAGCTCGCTGAGAATTTTGGACCGACATGGCAATCGCCGACTCATGCGGTATCTTCTTCAACGAGGGTATTATTTAATCCTTCCGGATCACATGTCCAGCGCTTTTTATGCGCTACGGCAATGTCTTTTGACGTTTACCAATTCCAACGCGTGGGAGGAGGGGAAAACAGTGAAAGATGGCGTCGAATCTGTCGAGGAGGCCTTTGATATGTTGAGCAAGGCGCTTCTAAGGTTTGAACAGCATTGGTTGGAGATGCCAATGCCCTCGGTGGCGCTTTTTCTTTCGCCGATGTCCAAGAACGATGACTTACATCCTGTGGAGGATATTGTGGGGGAACCTACCAGTTTTTCCGAAAACTGGATTTTGAATGCGCTTACGTCATATTATGACGATGGTGTTGAGGATCCAAACATAATGCATTCGGCATCTCAGGGAGTGGAAGTGCGGGTATTGAAAAAAAGATCGGTGGATTCGAGCGCGCATGGCATCGTAAAGCATCTCCAGGAATATATGATGGAGTGCATTACGACCTTCACGAATTAACCCTCCTCCTTTCTGCCAGCGCATTAGTTTTTGTTATTTTCCGTTATTTATTCATTTCATGATCTCAAGCTTGGTGCATCATGAACACGGATTTTTGGATAATAATGACGCGATTATTTTTATTTTGCATCTTTACAACTGTGGTGTCCTTACCACAAAGGAAAGAGAACCATCTGGCTTTGTCGATTTTACAGCATAAAATACTAAACCTCTCATTTAGAGGTGCTTACAAATGGTCTTATGAGAATTATTTTCTATCCACGGATGCTTTTTAGAAAATGCATTGGTACCATTTTCAATATTAAATCGCTACCGTCTATCCTGTCTATTAAATATTCATTAATGAATCCATTCCTTATTTCATATACATTTCTTTTTTTATCTATATCCTTTTTGGAACCAATTTCCCTCGTTACACACACCCAACAACACATATTAATATATATATATATTAGTACATTTGTAAGCTAGATTACAATTAAGCATTGTTTTCTTTTTTCCTTCCCTTTATATTTATTATTATTAATAATAATATTATTATAAATATATAAATAAATATATTTATATATTGAGTACAAATGTCTAAAATCAACGCCACCTATAGCTCGGGCTACTACCTCAGCCCCGACACGGACTACCGAAAGCTCGAGGAGGCCCAACGGGCGGAGCAGCGGCGGAAGCGCGGACGCCCCGGCGAGGAGGTCGATCCCTTGGCGAACACCAAACGCCAGACCTTCGCGATTCCGTTTAATTTGATTTGTGGGCATTGCAAGCGGCATATCGCGCGCGGGACGCACGTCTACACGAATCGCCGCGCGACCAATCAGAAATATTTAAACGCGATTCGGATTTGGGAGTTGGAAATTCGGTGCCGGTATTGTCAAGGGCGGTGGTACCTTCACACGGATCCGGAGACGCCCAAGGAGACGGGCGGGTATATCTGCGCGCGGGACTGCCAACGCGGCGAGGGCGACTTTTACGCCCTCAACAAACAAAACGAGGCGGTCCGATCGGAATGGGAGAAGGAAAAGGCTGAGGCGAAGGAAAATCCATTGGCGGCGCTTGAGCGGGAGAACGAGGCCGCCCGGCTGCTCGCGGAGCGAAATCGGCAAATCGAGGCCGACGTCATCGCGAACGCGGAGGGAGATGATGTGGGGTTGTTGGCCGCCGTGCGAGCGCGGAATTCGATCAATACTTTTCACGAGGGATCGTCATCGGGGTTGATGCTGAACTCCACGACGGATTTTGCGCTTTCCGAGGAGGAAGCAGCGAACGAAGAAGCGGAATATCAACGTTTTGAGGCCGAAATGCGGCGACAATGGCAGGATCAACATGGTGGAGATGAAAATGAAAAGGGGCCTGCATTTGCGAGCGACTATGAGGATGGAGTGCGGTGGGGAGAGCAATCGTCTGTGATCGAAGGGCCTGCGATTGCTCGCGATGCGTCTGAATTAGCGGAGGCGCTGCGGAACTACGGCGATGGAGTTCGCTTTGGGGGTTTGGATCTCACTAATAATAACAGCAACATCGCACCTGAAAATGGATTTAGTGGTAGTAATAGCAGTACCAGCTCCAGTGCAGCTCAGTCTGTCGTGAAAAGAACCTTCAAAAACGCGTTTATACTCGAAGAAGAGGGTGATAAAGTTGTTGATTTACCCACAAAGCTAAAACAAGTGCGTGTGGATGCAAATAGCAGTGTAAGACCCCCACAATCCTCTACGCGGCCTGCTTCTGGATTGAAGAGACCTGCGCCGCGGAGTTCGTTGTTGAAAAATTTGCTAGATGATGATGATTCCGATTAGCCGCACTAAGGGCGGAAAGAAATGATTGTGTATTTATTTCCTTGAAGAGAAGATAAAGTGGATGCGAACACATACCGATTCAGGTGATATAGTAAAAAACAACAACAATAAACCAGTAGCGCTGGACCAAAAATATATTGCCCCTCGAAAATTAAATGATCCCTTATTTATATTATTCACTATTCGGTAACCTTTTTTTGGTTATTATTGTCTATTTTTTTCCTCTTTACGTTCTGGCAGCACATCGTTTTTTCCCAAGTGCGTGTTTTTCCTATTCTCGCCGTGTTTATAAGTCAAACACGATCATATATCTATCGATATAGTTTTACTATCCATTTTATTTTGCAATTAGAAACACCATCATGTCGGCCCATCCACCACCACCGCATTCGATGACTCCTCCCGTCCAGGGCCGCGGTCCTGGGCCGTTCCCCCCTCCCCCGCCGCCGAGGGTTCCGCCGCCCCTTTCCTCCACCAGCGCGCCCTTCCCGGCCTCGCAGCGCCCTTTGCCCCCTCCGGCAGCCCCCCAGTGGGCCCCACAGCCCGCGGGGCGGATCTCAGCCCTGCCAAACCGAAATCCGACGCCGTTTTCGCCCGGGATGAGCGCGGCGGCGGGGGGGCTGCCCGCGGACCCCGTCCCGCCCTCGCATTCCCTCGACGGGACGGGCGGCTTTTCCCTCAAAAGCAGCCTCAACTCGCAGCTGCTGAGCACGTTTCGCGGGTCGCTGGGGAAAAGCGAGGGCCTGTCATCCACGCTCGAAGCGGGGCTTCCCCGGCCTTTTGGACGAGGGCGCAGCCGGGGGGAGGAGCTCCTCGCCGCCGCGCTCGATCGGCGGCGGGCGAATGCGACTTCCTCAAATGCCTCCCAAAACGCCTTTCAGGACCCGCTTAACCTCAAAAGCGGCGTCCCGAACACGGCCAATTCGAGCTGGCATCGCCCGGAGTCGTCCTTGTACGACGCGGGAGCCTCGCAGGGGCCTCTTCCAAGCTCGTTCAACGACGCCTTCCGGACGAACGATCCCTCTCAAAGAGATCTTAAGGGATCTTCTGATCTCGCCGCTTCCACGGCGCCGGACGCCCGTCAGATGCCCGAATTTACACACGTGAACGCGGGTAATTCTGTACAAAAAGGTACCGCACACCAAACCGTAAATGTCTTCAACGTGCGAAATGGTAAAGACGTGCCTCAAGAAATAACAGACGCCGATATGCTGTTCTTTTCAAGTTCTACACTAGATCATAACGACAAACCTTTCGTGAATGGTGATAAAAATACCATCCCAATGGAACATCACCTCTCAAAGCCGCTGATGAATAACGTTCCTTTCCACAAAGAACGCATCCATCAGGAGGATATTTGTGTAATAGGTACTGACTCCGAACAAACAAAGGCACCAGTCTCGACAAATGCAAACTCGTTATCCATCCCTTTCAACGCTAATGCGGATGGCGTAACCTCTGATGAAATCCGTAGTACGGCGAACGCTGCTGCTTCTGAGTTCTCTAACCCCTTTATGTTTACGGGTTCTGCGAAAACAACCCCAAACTTAGCTGGAATTAAAACTGACGATAAAATTAGCTTTCCCAAGGAGCGCTATACCGTCCATAATACCACTGATCTGCGGCAAGAAAACGCCAAATTACCTCAGACCGAGGATAAGGATCCATTACCCCGACCTACTATTTTAAGTTGTGAGAACAAGGCGCCGGTGCAGGCTGACAAGCCGCCCCTCTCTTTCTCTTTATATCCTCACTCACAGCAACAGGGGCGACATCTCGAGCTCGAGACGCCCAGGGACCTGCCCACCGGACTTACTGCTCAGCACTCTTCTTTTCATTTGAAGCGTGTGATAACCGCTGAAAAGCGATCGTATGACCCCATGGGGTCCGCTTCCGGGAAAAATGCAAGGATTTACGAGGAATCACCTGCTCCGCGCTATCCAGAAGTCAAAGCGGAAAGCGAATCAACAAATCAGCCTAGCAGCATGCCCACGGGATTCGACGCAAAGTCTTCGGATGCGGTCGACTCACAGGGAAGGATTTCCGCAGTAAACGAAGAAGAGCTGTCTATTGGGCGCCTTATCCATGATGATGGAACGGAAGGCCCAATGAAGGACCTCCACAGCAGTGCAGTGGACACCAAAATTCACTGGGCAAAGATTGAAGCAGATCCTAATGGAGATCCGAAGCCTACCTCCTCTGATCTAAAGAGTTTCGTACTTACATCGTCTTCCGTTGAGTATGATCAGGGAAAGACGCTTTCTCATTCACTCTCTTTTTTTCCTTGTGAAAAGGTTCAAAACCAACCAACTACTGCTGTTCTTCATATGACTGAGGGTTTACCGCAAGACGTACCTGAACAAAATCTAATGCCCTTCGGGAGTAACTTATCGAAACCACCACTCCCTCCAAATTCCTTAACTTCAGCTGTCCAAACCACTTTACCAGATGAGACTGCAACGCCCACAGGGATTCTCCCAGCGACGCCAACCCCGAAGTCAAAGAATGAGTCCTTTACATTGTCATCTTTCCTTCACGAACAATCTTTAATGGTAGTGAACGAAAATCAGGAAAGACATGAACCCGACACCCTGGTGAATCCTTTTGCAAGCTCCAACTTTGCCACGTCAGTGAAATCTGGTTCCGCTCATTTTGACTCCTCTTCACAGTCTCAGCCCCGCAAAGAACACGCGCCATGTTTCGCTCTATTCCACCCCAAACACGGTGGTATTATTGCTGTGTTCAATGAGAATGAGAATCCGACAAAAAGAGGGTCGTTATCGTGGTCGACAAAACAGTTTCAGGACAAAAGCTTCATGCGAAACACAGACGACAAAGCGTCTAATAGCGATACCACCAAGAAAAAGGACTCTAGGCGCAGTTATCTCGTTTCTTGCGGCCTATGTGAAACCATGTCTCGTTTGGATAATCTCTCAGAAAAAGAAAAGTTCATCAAAGGAACAGAGGCTGGACGTCGCTTCGTCGCTTCACTGGAGGCTGTGGCACGCTCTCCATTCTTTGCGTCTAATGGGGTTGCTCCCCTATCGGGGTTCAGTAATGAAAAGGCCCAGGAACTGCTCTGCATCCTTCAGAAAAACCAACAGATTCCACTGCTCCAAGTTCTGGCGATAATGTTGGCAGACGCTTTGGCACACAACGAGCACGCCTTTGTGTGGTCTAGAGGCGGCAACAAGGAGTTGGTGCATCTCCTGATGCGTGGGCATTCGGCGATTTCCTCGCCAAACGACTCTCATGCCATCGATGGCAAGGGGATTGGCTATGTGGGGCTTCTTCCTACCCTGAATACACTCTGCATACCGACCAATCCTTCAGATGGCCTAGCAAGAGTTCAACAACTACTATGCGAGGGCAACCGTGAGGCCGCTGTCGAGGTAGCCTTGGAGCATCACCTTTTCTTGCACGCCGTCCTCATTGCAATGATGTGCCCTACCAAAGAGCACTTTATGAGAAGCATTCAGGAGGTGGTGCTCAAAGAGCTTCAGCCCCACTCGCCACTGGCTCACGCATACTGCTTATTTAATGAGCTGCCTCTGCCCCCTCTCGTTCCACACCCTACGGTGTACACGAAGGAAAACGACCACAACCTATCAACTGAAACTGAGAATGATGCACACTCAGCTAATCCCCTCCACAGGAACTCGAAGGAATCTAAATTACTGAGTTTAATATCAAGCACCACCAAACCTGCCCTTACCATGACTGAGGCGAAGCAGAAGAACTTGGAATATTTAAACCGCAGCTGGCTCCAGCAGGCCGCTATGTTAATCGCAAATTTTACCATGAGCAGCGGGGATGGGCTTCTACAACTCGGCGATACGCTGCAAGAGTCTGGTCTGCTGCTCGAGGCGCATACGTGCTTTCTTTTGGGGCATCTCTGCCCCATGGGTACAACCAAAGGAGGAAAGGTTACCAACTCGGAGAAGGACGCGTTCAGGAACCAGCTTCGATGCCGTTTGGGTGTCTTAGGTGGGTTTTACGCCCCAAACGTCTCCACCCGCGCTGCCTTTCTGACTCCGATATCCACCCTTCTGACAGATCTTCTCCAGGAAGTTCGGTGTCAGTTGGATCTGCGCTTCTCACCTACGCTTCCAGAAAGCCCGTTTCCAGAGGAGGGTGGGACATCAACCCAAAATGTTTCCGTATTACCCAATGAGAACGCCCAAACCCCTCCCCTTCCATGCCACGGCCTGCCCCTGCGTCCTTTCCGATACGCGGTAGCATTCCATTTCATGCAAGTCTTGTGGTTGCGGGAGGCTGGTATGAATATGGAAGCTAACAGAGCCCTGCAGGACCTTCTGAGGTTGATACCACCACCCAGGCTTATATTGCCTGGGCCTCCACGTACTCTTAATGAGCTCGTGTATATTTTTGGCCAAGTACCATTTCCGGCACCAGCTGCGCCGCAAAGCGTGACTTGTGCAGACGCCCCTGATCAGCCCACTGATACGAGTAGCAACCCGAATGTCGACGTCCCCATGATGGGCGGCCCAACCCAACCCCATAGTGCGGAACTCCGCCCGCAACCCTCAGCATGTTCGAACCCCCCCATGACCCCACCCCAGCCCCCGCCATCACCGAAGCAGGACGGCCCCCCC